GCTGAAGAGACAGAAGCCCTCAGGAAGTCCCTGAAACCCTGAGAGTGGGGCTGATTTCTGCCATCCAGCCTGGTCCAAGGCGAGGGATGACAAGAGAGACAGTAGACATCCTAAGACTTGGACTAACTTGTGAACCTTGGAGCAGGTCAAGCCCTGCCTTATCATCATTTGCCTGGTCATTAGGAGGGAGCTCGAAGGTCCTTTTCACCACCCCCCTTCTTCATCAGTGCTATCGTTAGGCCAGTTCCACCCCATCACGACCCTGTCCAACAGAACGAAACCCTGCTCGGTCCTAGGCCATCTTCACCAACATGCCTGCGGTGGTACCCAGCCGGCAGCCGCTGGGTCAATCCATCTTGTCGACAGTCTCCCTGGTTTTCCCTGCCCTGCTATTTTGCCAAGCAGGATGCCCTGCTCCAGAAACTCTCTCTCCTGACAACATGTCCAAAGTCCATGAGATAAAGTCCCTCTTCATAGACTGACCCAAATGTTGCCATCCAGTTGAGACTCCCAGCCACTCTGCAAGACAGAGCAGAACTGCCTCACAGGGTTTCCAATGTGGCTCACTTTGAGGGAAGCAGACTGCTACCTATTGCTCCTGCTCAGTAGCAGGTGTGCTCCGACTGCCCCTCGGGATGAACAGCCAGGTGCATGACCACTGTGTCCCTGGGGCTCCTTTCGCAGACTGTACTCTGACGCTGTTTGCTCTTCCTGTGAAGTACCACGGTCTCCATTCTGCCTCACAGCGGCCCTGCACACACAGAAACACCGCCCAGGCCTGCCCCCTCCTCACCGTCCTTGTTAGGGTCCAGCCAATGTTGCAATCATGTGTCCATCGAGCGCCTGGAGGGCCGTCCGTGGGTTCCTTAACCTTCCACCTCACCAAGCTTGCTATCTTTTTCCCCACGATAACATGTCCAAAGTCTCAACAAATCTCACCATCCTCATGTCTGAGGAGAATTCTGCCTGTCCTTCTTTGGGCTTCCGGACTTTATTGCAGCTACACTGGTAGATAAGGGGTCATATGTCACAGAAAGGATGCAGCAGGGTTAGCTCTGGGGCTGGAGATGACCTAGAGAGATTGTGGAGAGAAGCGGAGTCCCAGTCCCGGGGGACCGGGAATGGTTGGGTGAGTGGGAGGGGAAAGGGAAGTCACTCCTGGGTGCCCCAGGAGATGTAGTCCGGCCGCGTGGCCGCGTGGTACTCGTCGATGAGCTCCTGCACCACCTTCCGGGACGTGTCCAGCTCATCGAAGTTCTCCTTGAAGATGTCCTCCTTGCGGAACTGCTCCAGGAAGGCCTCCCGCTTCCGCAGCTTGTCGTACTGCTGGCAGGAACTTTCAAAGAGCTGAAATAGAAATCTCTAGAATGAACACCAGTGCCAAGTGGACTGGGGGCAAGTGATGAAGGCGGTCAGTGGAAGAGGATGGCCAAAAGAGACCC